TGCATCCGACGCAGGCACATTTTAATTGCCAAATCGCAGCTCATTTTCGATATACCCCTCTCACCAAGGCTCATTCCTCTTATAGTATAGTATTCTAGTCAAATTCTCATCTCTTCAAGATGACTGGAACGGAGCGTAAAGTTTTCCAGGTACCCTTTTTTGATTTATTTTCATTTCCCATTTTCCTCCGGTCTCACGTACCTTGTTCGATTTTCTTCTTTCAGAAATATTATCCTCCGGATTATGATCCAACTAAATTGCCTAGAGCAAAGGGAACTAGAGCTCGGTGAGTTGAGGTTTTTCACTATCGTCGTCTGTGGCGCTTCAACAGTAACGAAATGTACCTGAACGTTTAAAAAGCAAGATAAAAGAGAAGAGAATCACTTAAAGTGTTCCACTCACCGCGCCTTTGAGTTTGTACAGGAAAACCGCGTTGATGTTAAGGGAACAGTCTCAAGAATGAATTAACGTTCAGAAAATTGCCTATGGATTGTAGGAGTATGAATGCAAGGGAAATTCTATTTTTTTTCTATGGGGTGTATATTGGCCTTTTGTTTCGAGCGCTGTTAATGTTTCGCAAGAACTAATTTCCATTCTTCTCCCCTTTAGTTTCTACTCGATTTGATAGCAATTTTGTCTGTTAGGGTTTTTAGATCAGTGGCTGCATCGCTAAACGTCCATGCGATCTGCGGCCTAGACCTCAGAAAAACGGTTTTCGATGAATGGCCCCCGACTCCGGTTTGAGACCCACTAAAGATTTTTGGAAGGTTAATATCAGAGATAGATACAACTTCCTCAGTCAACTTGATTTTTTAACATTTCTTTTTTAAGGCACCAACAAACTTATGAAACGCTCTCACTTGCCCTCGTCTTTTTTTACACATTCAATGTTTCTTTTAAAGAAACTGCAGCGTACATCAAACAATCAAAACCTGCGGTTTGATGTTGGGAAGATTACGCGCTCCTCACAACGCTCTCTTCGCCACCCTTATAAGTATTATCACTCTCAACCTCAAATCCAATAGGTACCTAACTTCCTGAACTCCCAGCATTTCAGAAATAACGTCCTTCTATTACCGGGGCTTACCGGGGGGCTTCCCTAGCAACAGGCTAGGGCTTGACCTATCTCTTTGCTAAAAAGCTTTCAACAGCGCTACACTCATCCAGTTGAACGTCAGGTCCTTTTCGAGCGGATAGAAGGAGTCCAGTCACACTGTTCAGAACCTGTCTGGAAAAGAGTTTGCTCTAGGATGTCACAGTAAACCTTGATTTCATGATGTCATCGAGGCCAGGAGGGCGGGGTTCAGGGGTCTGGTTCCATTTCATTGGGGTTCACAAGTCTGTTGAAATGTGAGAGGCGATAATTTGTCAATTTTCACAAACTTACGAACCCAAACAACACTTCTGTGTGTAACCCTCATAGCGCGTCGATCATGTTATCCTGTGACAATTTGTACGGAACTCTTTGACGGGTTGTTATAATATGGTAATAGTCGCTGCCTTTTTACTCTGAAGAGCATATCATCACAAGGGGCACTTATAAAAGAGTATTTCTAACAATAGCCAGTACTCTCGATGGAGCCTCTCAAGATCAGTACATCTTTTTCGGCTTACATTTCGGCTTTTTCGCCTCCTCAAAGCCTGGAAGGTTTTCACAGATGTTTACAGACTTTTCAGGATTGGAAACAGTAAAGAAGCCGAACTAAGGTGTAAATATATTTTGAAAAAGCTTTAGGCTATTCATAGTGACCGTTTATGCGTTTATTACAAGAAAGCCAGTTCTAGACTGTAATATTTTCATTATTGTGCTGTGCTTTCGATTCCTGTTCTTTCAGACAGTTCGTTCAACGAGTCATGACCCCTTTCAATATGCAGTGTAATACGTGTCACGAATACATTTACAAAGGAAAGAAGTTCAATATGAAGCGTGAAACTGTAGAAGGAGAAGATTACCTTGGTCTCAGACTTTTTCGGTTTTATTTCAAGTATGTCTGCTTTAGATTTTTTTTCTCACTTCAAGTTGCGGAGATCTGAAAAACTTCACTTATTTGTATTAATTTACTTGTTTTCTTTTTTATTGATTTCGTGTTTAGGTGCCCGAATTGCTTAGCGGAAATCACATTCAAAACTGACTTGGAGAATTGTGACTATCAAAATGTGAGTTTTTAAGAGACTTTCGTTTCATACTGGTTTCTGTTGGAACCTCTAGTGGATTCATAATGCAGAGTATCTTTATACAAAAAATTAGTTAATATGCTTTTGAAATTTGAATTTGAATTATTTCCCTTCGTTTATTCTATTTTTTATTTGTTCCTCAATTATTAGTGTCACTTGCACTTCTGTTTTAAATTTTTATGCCAGTGTAGATGCGAACCTTACCTTTTTTGTGAAGATGCCACTGGTGTAGCAAAACTCAGCAGAAAGCTCAGATGCGTACAAAAATAGTCATCTGGAGAATTTTGTGGATACTTACGAAAACAAATCAAATGAATCACCCTTTCCTTGTGCAGTTCTTTTAGCAGAAGAACGTCTGTAACAAACAGATATAATTTCAGTGCTATTGAATCCGCCAAAATGTGGATTTCGATTATTCTTTTCGGGTAACCCATCCATAGAACAGATCCGCTTACTGGAATGGCGGAAAAAATTTCCTCAAAAACACCTCTATATTCTAACCTTCTTTATTTTTTTCGACATGTAATGAATTCCCATGCGCCTGGTCACATTGCACAATTAAGTAGTCCAAGGCCTTTTGTGTGGTCGACTATTCTCGCCAATATTCTGAAATGTTTCTTTTTGCTTTTTTTTTCAAAGTTAGTTCTCATGGAGGCGTAGATGGTGTCGTGGCAACTCCTACATACCACTCGGTCCAGGGACAGTTTACAGCATCGTGATGTGTTAAATGGTGGTGTAGGTACGACCCCCCCTCAGCACCTACCTAACGTACCTAAAAATTTCCCAAATTTTCAGTTTTTTCACCCAAAGATCAACGTCACCGTCAAACGGTGGGGGAGGTGGCGGGGCGGGCTTATAGTACACATGAAACAGGGAAATTCACGAAAAATCACAATCGGGAAAAATTTCTTGCCAAAGCAGCGAAATTTTTCTCTCGAAGGCACATACGACCCCCTCTCCAACAACGACCGAATACGACCCTCCCCCTTCCCGACGGAAAGGTACGACCCCCTACGTGTTTCATACAACGATGCTGTACCCTGTCCGGGGATCAAACCTGTGATCGACTTTTGCGCTTCAAGCATTCTGCCTTCAGGAGACTGTAAATCGGTACAAGCTCATTTGGGCTCAATTTTTCATACACGTCAGTAATGTATCTAAAAGCATTGGAAGAGTTTAGAAAACATTTGAAAGCATTGTAGAATATTATCATCCTAAAGAACTTTAATATACAGCATCTGTTCGGATGTGGTGAAGTATGATGCTTATATTTCTTCTTTATATAACCAGTTTGCTGTCTAGGAACATGGTGCTACTCGATTATTCGAAGCAATGAAGCTCTATCAAGATGCCGAGAAGGCAAGGGAAGCTCAAGAAGAAGAAGACAAAAAAGACCCAATGAAAATGCTCGAGAAACGAACGATGATGAGTCGTGCGGAAATGGAAGCAATGGGTTAGTATTCAAGCCTCATAATTTTGGATTTCTTTTGAATTGGTTTTGCTTCTTCACGACTGCACGTGCTGTTGAATGCTAGTTTGACTTTATATTTTGTAATTTCATATTTCTAAGTGTCGTTTTTCTAGGTAACCTGGAAGATCTGCAAGAGATTAGTAGGAACAAAGAGGCTGTTGATGTGGATGACTTCCTGGAAGCCACAAAACCAGTACTCTCAATACCTGAACAGATAAAACTGCAAGAAGAAGAGGATGAAGCCTTGATTAGGTAATTCTTGTAATTTAGTTTTTTTTCCTGTAAATTCTATTGAGAGTGTCTGTACCACAGTTGATATCGTGTTTAGGAAGGTTTATGGCAAAACTGCTGATGGTAAGATAATGAAACGGTTAGATGATGACATAAAGGAGGAAGAGGAAGAGGAAGATCTCAGTAAACCTGGAACCAGTGGCTTGGTACGTTACCATCTGCTCAATTTCTTCTTTGTCATGAGTTATACCTTCAATATGAGAGTTCTGATTTTGAAGTGGATTTAGTTAACTTCTTTCCATGATACTTCGTTTTTCTCGTTTTGAATCTCTCTTTGGAGTTCTGAGTGCAATTTTTGTGTTTATACTGCTCCTTTTGAAGCGTAGTTGGTATAGTGGCGAAAGAGGGGCCAAAGGCCCGCTGACTAATCTATGGTTTCCTGGAGGATAAAAACACTGATTCATAAGCTTTTGATCCCTTCGGAATGGCAGCTGTATAAGCGTACGTATTCAGTAGAGTCACGACGATTCTGATGCAAAGTAGGATGCGTGGTGCACTCCAATCAGGGATGTCCACGATCAAAAAGATTTTCTATTGTTCTTTTGTCCACTGTGTAGACCTCCCAGAAAAGTGGAGAGAGTTGGGATTGTATAGTTTCAAAACCCTTTTGATTAAAAACTGAGGTGAATGCCTAGAAAAGGAAGATGAAGTATGGGCGCTGTTTAGCGACGGGGGGGCATTTTGTACTAACATTGCTTCCCTAGTTCCGGTTTACGAATCTCACCATGGTAAAACTTGTGAACGCCTGTGAAGCTGGAGTAAGATCGTCTAGCCACCATCCTAAAACGTGTCAACTCGAGAAAAGGCTACCTAGATGGGTCGGCACATCTATGAAAAGCCGAATGCCCCCCGTCGACAAACTGCGCCTGAAGTGTGTTTCATTCCAAACCTAAGAGCGAACATTAAACCACAGATCTGAGGAAAAGATTCTACAAATGTAGCATACTGAGCGGAACGGATAGCTTCTTAGAGGCTTCATGATTTTGTATGTTTTTAGATATCCAAGTTGAGTGATGCTGCAGATGTCAAGCCTTTCGATATAAAGCCGACATTCGCTAAGGATGCCCCGAAGCGTGCCAGCGACCAGAAGTCCTTGTTGTCAAAAATGGTTATTGTGAAGAAAAAGAAGGTAATTTGAGTTACTTTAACTTATTCCTTTCTTGTGAGTTGCTGAAAAGACTGCCCATGATTTGTATTGACAAGTGTTGACACATTTTTCAAGTATTCATATTAGGTTGTCCGGAAAGTTCTCAGCGTTTTGAGTGTTTCACTTTAAACGATCATAACTTTCTTAATACTCATCGGATTTAATCGAAATAGGCACCGTTCGAATCAGCACACTTTTGCCAATGTGACACCAGTCGATAAATCCCATCAAAGAAAAAAACTGGGTGGAAGAATCCACGAAGTCCAAA